CAGTTCTTGTCTCTAAACATCTACGTAAATTCTGTCCAGTAGAGATTCAACTCACTCCCCTCCCTCATTGTGGAAGAAGTAAGTTGGGTCTCCATTTGCCCATTCTTCACAATATTCCTGCTCTAAAAATGTTTCTGTTCTTCAGATTGTCCTTTGAAGTAACTGTAACATCTTACTGGTTCCTTCATTAATCATGTGTAAAATAAAATCTTTAACATGTGCTCGCTTTATATATGAGAACCATGATATGAAATCCTGCTGTAAGGATTTGATGAGTAAATGTATGTAAAGCACTTGAAACAGTGTAATTATTATTGAGCCTTAAATGTGCTAGGCTCAAGTCAAGTCAGCAAGACAAGGATCCTTGCTTTCGAGTAGGTTACAGCAGTCTGGTTCTAGAAATAGATAAAAATAAGAATTTACAATTCAGCATGACTGAGTACAGTAGTGTGTACAGGATACAGTGAGAACACTTGGGATGACCCCCAGTTTTGAAGACTATGAAAATGTTTCTTAGAGGCAGAGATGGTGCAGGGTCCCCCAAAGCCCCCCACTTTCTTTCTGTGTCCTAACATAGAGCGCCTTGACCACTCTGTGACCTGGCCAGCTGCGTGGGGTTTTTATTCCCCTGTAGGGTTGCACTTAAGCCTGGGCCTTGAACATTCCCAGGCACTGATAAAGTTGTGTAGGTTACTGCATCAAACACTGAAAGATCAAAGTATGTTACTAAACACATAGAAACTAGCCCCAGCCCTAAGCCAAATTCCCTAAACCCTCACGAACTCCATAACCCAACTTCTCATTGCTGACATACCTCCGTAGAAACATCACTTTCCGCCCTGTCCACTTAAGCACTCTGTATGTAAGTTCTCTAATAAATGTTTTGGACTGTATGTTACTAAACACATAGAAACTAGCTCCAGCCCTAAGCCAAATTCCCTAAACCCTCATGAATTCCATAACCCAACTTCTCATTGCTGACATACATACATAGAAACATCTCTTTCCGCCCTGTTCACTTAAGGACTCTGTATGTAAGTTCTCTAATAAATGCTTTGGCCTGATCTCCCCGGCATTTAATGCTTCTTTCTTTGGAATTCTGTCCAGCCCCATCTCCGGATGGTTTGGGGCAGTCCATCACAGGAATTCCCCTACCGCCCCTTTTGGGTCAACTTGGCTTCAGCTAGACTTGGGTTGAGCCAGAAGAAACAGATGGCTAAACTAGGACTTGGTAAACAAGGAGAGGAGAGAAAGAAAGAGCCTTTTAGACGGGCAGGAAAGAGCCAATGTCTTTCAGGTAACTGCACACAGTTTGATAGGGCTGGATCATGAGTGGAAAGTGGGAGAATAATGAGACGGGATGTTAAACTGATGGCTGGAGACCGGAAAACATAAAATCTTGTTTGCTCTGCAAAATAGTTTATCCTGAAGCCAAAAGGGTAGACATCAAGGGATTTTTTTTTTTCCTGAAATGGGGTCTTGCTCTGTTGCCCAGGCTGGAGTGCAGTGGCAGGATCTCGACTCACTGCACCCTCTGCCTCCTGGGTATGAGCGATTCTCCTGCTTCAAACTCCCGAGTAGCTGGGACTACAGGTGTGTGCCACCATGCCCAGCTAATTTTTGTATTTTTTAGTAGAGATAGGGTTTTGCCATGTTGGCCAGGCTGGTCTTGAGCTCCAGACCTCCCAAAGTGCTGGGATTACAGTTGTGAGCTACTGTACCTGGCCCATCCAAGGATTTTATACAGGGAAGTGGCTTGATTTGAGTTTAAAATGATAAATTTGATAAAATGAGTAACAAAGTGATATGTGTGGATATTTAGAAAGTAGGATGAACAGAATCTGCAGGTTGACTGCCTCAGAGAGGTAGTATAGTAGTATATGGATAAGGGTATGGGCTTCCTAAACCAGCCTGATGGACTACACTTCTAGACTTTTCTACTTACTGTGTGACCTTAAGTAAATAACTTCAATTCTCTGAACCTCAGTTTTCATATCTGCAGGATTGGTTTAGTGTCATCTAATTGTACTTCATTGGCTTACTGAGGGAATTAGACATCAGGAATAAAAAGTGCTCAGCACCATCTGTTTAGTGTTTAGAATGATAAATATATAAAGCAAGCAGGCTGGCCACCGTGGCCTGTAATCCCAACACTTTGGAAGGCTGAGGTGAGAGGCTCACTTGAGTCCAGGAGTTCAAGAGTACTCTGGGAAATACAGTGAGATCCCTATCATTATGAAAAACAAAATAATTGGCCGGGCATAGTGGCACACACCTGTGGTCACAGCTACTCAGGAAGCTGAGGTGAGAGGATTGCTTGAGCCCAGGAGGTTGAGGCTTCAGTGAGCCATGTTCACACCACTGCACTCCAGCCTGAGTGACAGAGCGAGATCCTGTCTCAGGAAGAACAACAACAACAAAAAAGCAGAATATTAATCAGAAGAAAACAAACCAAACAAGCAATATTATTAGGTGGCCAGGCTCTAGTCCAGCTACTTAGGTTCAAATTCCTTCCCTGCCATTTACTAGTAATATGATCTTAAGAAAGTGTATAGTCTATTCTCACACTGCTGATAAAGCATGCCCAAGACTGGGTAAATTATAAAGAAAAAGAGATTTAATGGACTCAGAGTTCCATCTGGCTGGGGAGGCCTCACAATCACAGTGGAAGACAAATGACATGTCTTTTTTGGTGTCAGGCAAAAGAGAATGAGAGCCAAGTCAAAGGGGATCCCCTTATAAAACCATCAGATCTCGTCAGACTTATTCACTACCATGAGAACAGTATGGGGGAAACGGCCCCCCATGATTCAATTATCTCTCACCGGGTCCCTCCCACAACACATGGGAATTACAAGAGCTACAATTCAAGGTGAGATTTGGATGGGGACACAGCCAAACCATATCAGAAGGTAACTTTCTTATGCTTTTGAACTGAAGAATGATGAGGCGTATAAGGGTTGCAGGCTGCAGGGTGGCCCTTCTGACAGGCTCAGAAGCATAGTCTCCAGCCTGAAGCCAAAAACATACATTCTGAGGGAGGGGCAAAGTGAAAGGGGACAGAATGGCAGAATATACATATTTAATATGCTATAGGAGGAATCAGGATGTTTACGAAAGGAAAAACGTGCACGTGCAGTTGAGCTTCATTGCACCTTCATGGGTCCCAGGTACAAAAAATGGGGGCATCAGCGTGATCTGAAGAGTTTTCAGTGCCTGATGTCAAAAGGTGAAGTAGAGGCCAATAATACCCTTACTGGACATGCTCTGTAGGTTGGCCAGACCCACTCCGTAGTGGTTGGTCTCTTAGGCAAAAAAGGAGGGGCAGCATCAGGCTGTTATCAGTGGTGGAGTCTTTTGAAAGGGTTGGCTTCTGTTTTCCCCTTAGGGTAGAAAAGGCTGATAGGCCCTGGTTAGTGAGGAAAGGAATATAACAAGGCGAAGCAAAAACTCAGTTTTCAAGGTTACTCTGGGTCCCCTTTGCCAAGAGAGGGTCCCTTCAGTCAGCCGGGGCCAGGAGGGGGTCCCTTCAGTCCGCCAGGGGACTTAGTATTTAATTTGTATTTCTCATGCCTCGTTTTTAGAATTGGTAAGATGCTGAAGATAATTGTATCTCTTCCATAATGTTGCGGTCAGGATGAAATGAGATGATTCAGATAAAGTACCAGACATTACTTTATTTAAATAAATACATATTGAGCATATATGCCCTATGCATCAGGCCCTATTCTAGCCCGTGAGGATACAGTAAATAGAACTGACTGAACGGAAATAAAACCTTAATTGTATATAACAAATAATAACAATGAACCTCTGGCACATAAGAGTGCTATGTATTATCTCTGTTTCAAAGCAATATCCCCAAGACAAGCTTTATGGTCCTAACCTATTTCTATAATTTTTACTGTAATAAAAGAATAATACTCCACAAATACAGTGGCAATGACTAGGACATAAAGATACAATTCAAGTTAACTCATTCATTGAGAGGACACCAGAAACTGGGAATGGGGTAGCGGGGAAACAAATTTGAAAAAAAAATCTGCTGATGAAAGTGAGTGCATTTACCACACACTTTTGTCCAAGAAAAGCTATGTGAGTGTGCCAGCACCAACCTGAAATCTCCCTAAGAATGCATGCTTATAGCCTATTCATTTAAACAGTGGGAGAGAGTTGACATTCAAACACCAGAGATGCTATTTTTTTTTTTTTTTAAGACTGAGTTTCGCTCTTGTTGCCCAGGCTGCAGTGAAATGACGCGATCTCGGCTCACCGCAACCTCCGCCTCCTGGGTTCCAGCGATTCTCCTGCCTCAGCCTCCCGAGTAGCTGGGATTACAGGCATACGCCACCACGCCGGGCTAATTTGGTATTTTTAGTAGAGGCGGGGTTTCTCCATATTGGTTAGGCCGGTCTCTCCCAACCTCAGGTGATTGCCGAAGTGCTGGGATCACAGGTGTGAGCCACCGCGCCCGGCCTCAAACACCAGAGATTCCTGAATATAATTTATTAGCTCAAATGCCTCTACAGTCAACAGAGTCTCGAGGGTTTGGTTAACAGGGCAGATGAAAGCACTTCCTGAAACGGTGGGAAATAAAAATGGATCAAGTCTGGTGCAGTCTATAAAGGCCTCGGCCTCCGTTGTCACGGCAACCGACCCCGCCCCAGCCAGGAGGGGAAACCTGAAACCTGGCGACCCCAGCCGGGTGCCCGCCTCCCTTCCGTGTCCCCGGCTTTCTGTTATGGTTGGGAATAGGTAAGGGACACAGGTCAACGGAGATGCTAGATTAGTCCCCTCTAGTCTCCGTAGAGGGAGCTATAAGAGGGGGTTCCTCCACAAGCAGAAACCCCCTTCTGCACTTCAACGCTAGGAAACCGCGCGACTCTCTTTCCCGAGAGGGAGACTAAAGGCTGGAAGAGTACAGCCCGCCAGTGGGTGGAAGCCGAAGTAGCCCCACCTCCCAGTAGCTTCTCGCGATAGTGGAGATGCAGCTAGTACGTAACTTCCGATTGCGACCCATCAGCTCCTCGGATTGGTCCATTTCCACTGCCGGGGCTGCGTGAAGTTTTCGCCGGGTCCTGGAGTCGCACGTGTGGTGAGACCTAGAGACCCGGCCCTCTAGAAGCTGGGCCTTGGTATCCCCGCCGGACTGCGAGGGTATCATCGCCGCCCCTGTTGAGGGTGAGCGTCGCGCGGCTGCAGCATGGTGAGCAAACCTAGTTTGCCTCGGCGGCCGGGCGCTGTGGTTTTGCAGAGGCAGGGCTGGTTCCGGTAATGCCTTGACTACTGCGGCCTGGGTCTGGATCATGCCAGAGGTTGCTTGCAGCACAGTACCCCGGAATGGGCCATGCTCACCACCCCGGGTATTCTTTGCTAGTTATATTCTGCTACCGCCGAGCCTCCCAGGGATGTGACCCGGAGAGGAGAATGGCCCCTGGGATCTTGCAGCCCTGCGCGCTTTCGGTTAACTAAAAGCTGGCGACTGCACACACAGACGAGCCACCCTCTGCTTCTTGGGGTCGAGCAGAGGGAGCTGCTGGTCTCCCTCAGTGGCGTTGGAGTGGCAGGTGTCTGCCTGTCTGTTTGCTCTGAGAAAGGAAACTTGTGGGAGAGTATAAGGTTGCGCCCAAAGTAAAGCCATTTAATTGGTTTCACAGTTTGGAGAATCAAAATTGAATAGCGAAACAAGAATGTAGAAAGAGATGATGGATCTTATTAAATTTAGCTGTTTGTGTCCTGATTTTATTTACTGGTTGGTAGATACCCTACGTGGAGCTGTCTACTCCAAATCATGTTGTGGCGGGCTTCCTCTCATTCTGGTTCAGTCTGCCGGGGGCCTTCCCTGAGCAGCCAGTCTAAAGTAGCTCTTAAGTCATTTTCACATCACTGTCTTATATTTTCTCCACCTGAAATTATCTTGATTTTCTTGCTAAGAACAGGGACTTTATCCGACGTTCCCAATTCTGTATTCCCAGTTTCCATAACAAGGTCTGACACAGAGTAGGTGCTCAAGGAATATTTGTTGAATGAAGGCTAAGTATGGATTCTACAGAACACAGCTGATGTTACCTTCCCTGGAAGTGTAGATTTTTAAAAAGTATTTATCTTTAACATGAGTACTAAAGATGCGTTTGTGGACTGTGGAGTTATTCTCCATCGTTTTGTTCTGTTTTAATTAATTGTTGTGATTTTGTTCCTTTGAAGCCTCACAGGAAGAAAAAGCCCTTTATAGAGAAGAAGAAAGCTGTGTCTTTTCACTTGGTCCACCGGAGCCAACGAGATCCTTTAGCAGCAGATGAGACTGCACCCCAGAGGGTTCTGTTGCCCACACGAAAAGTAGGTCCTGTTCTTTACCCAGTCAGTTTATAGGTAGACTATTAATAGTTTCTTTTTTCTTTCTTTCTTTTTTTTTTAAATTAATAGAGAAAGAGTCTTGCCATGTTGCCCAGCCTGGTCTCAAACTCCTGAGCAGTCCTCCCAGCTTGACTTCCCAAAATGCTGTGATTACAGGCATAAGTCACCACGCCCAGCTATGTTAATAGTTTTTAATAAATTGTTAGCCAGCTGTTATTTTCAGATAACAGATATTCTGGGAAAGAATCTATAAGTTAATTTTCAGTACATTTGCTGATTTTTCATGTTTTGATTGGGAACATAACATTATAAATAACATAAATGACATTCATGTTTTTTTGATTGGGAAGACAAAGATCTTTGAGATTTTAAAGGAACAAATTTTGTAAAATAATGGTTAATATTTACCAAAACACCAGCTACAATGTAGCCTCATGTTATCTAGGGCACCAGTGAATGCTCAAACTGTGCTTTCTCTAAGATCCTGCCATTTCATAACCACAAATTGCATTTTGCCTCCTGGTTGCTCATCTTAGGAAATGTAAAATATCTGAGCTCTTGGGTTAGCTCAGGGAACTTTGCAAGGAAGCCTCGAAAAGATTGACTTAATGTTGGACAGTACTTACTAAGTGTACGTATTATGAAACAGTGTTGGGGACATGGGCCATGTTTAGCTTTCAGTAAAGTCAGTTTTGTTGTATGTTGAGAGGGTTTAACATATAAATACAATAAATTGTACTTAACCTTTCAAGGCACCCAAATCTTTTTTTTCTTTTTTCCTTTTTTTTTTTTTTGAGACGGAGTTTTCGCTCTTGTTACCCAGGCTGGAGTGCAATGGCACGATCTCGGCTCACCGCAACCTCCACCTCCTGGGTTCAGGCAATTCTCCTGCCTCAGCCTCCCGAGTAGCTGGGATTACAAGCGTGTGCCACTACGCCCAGCTAATTTTTTGTATTTTTAGTAGAGACGGGGTTTCATGATGTTGACCTGGATGGTCTCGATCTCTTGACCTCGTGATCCACCCACCTCAGCCTCCCAAAGTGCTAGGATTACAGGCTTGAGCCACCGCGCCCAGCCCAAATCTTTTTTTCTTTCTTTCTTCTTTTTTTTTTTTTTTATGAGACAGGGTCTCATTCTGTTGCCCATGGTGGCATGCAGAGTGGCTCCATCTCAGCTCACTGCAACTTATACTTCTTGGGCTTAAGTGATCCTCCAGGTTTGTACTACAAGCACACGCCACCAGGCCTGGCTAATTTTTAAAATTGTTTTGTAGAAACGAGGTCTCACTATTTAGGCTGGGCTGGTCTTGAATTCTGGGCTCAAGTGATACTCCTGCCTCAGCCTCCCAAAGTGCTGGGATTATAGGCATGAGCCACTGTGCCTGGCCTCCCCAAGTCTTTTCTTATAACCCTCCAAATAGTTGATAAAATAAATTGTGTGTATATGTCTATATCTTGACTTGAAATGTTGCACAGAAATGTCTAGTGGAAGGAGCAATTGTTATTTATTTTTATTGCCCTTTTAAAAGCATGAATGTTTTCATTCCATTGTAATGTTGTGTACCACTCTGGTTTTGAAGCTGTACATTTCCTGAGTTTGTCCACAATTCTTTGTCTTTTTACTATCAGCCAAAATGTTCATGTGCCATCTGCCTCCTACTTGGAAAGCTATACTCATTGGAATATTCCCATACCTTATACTTCGAAGACATACTGATTCCATTTTGTTTATAGATAAGCAATGAAGAAAGGCAAGCAGAACAGAGGAAGTATAGAGCATTCTTTGATGATAACTGTGACTACCTGCAGCACCTGAAGGAACCATCTGGGGCCTCAGAGCTCATTCCTTCAAGGACCTTCAGTGCACACAACAGGAGAGAGGAGAAAGAAGAAACGCTGGTAATTCCAGTAAGGCTTTTCAGTAATTTCAGTGTGGGAATGAGGTGAAGAAATCATTTTTAAATCAAGATAACTGTTTGGGGCAAGAAATGGTGTCAGTATGAAGAGCACAAAGATAGACCATGCTTCCACTTAAAATAATGTATGTATATGCACATGTATACCATCAGGAGAGAATAGGTCACCTCTTCTCTGGTGTCAGGTTTCTTTTGATTGATAGACATGGCCATGTTAGACAGCACTTTTCAATAGAAGAAAAGCTGCTGACATTCTAACAGTTATGTTAACAACATAACTGTTTCAGGGTCATAAACTCTGTTCTAAGATGGACCTTAACTTCTGTGGAGTATTCAGATCTTTAACACTTTTGTGCCCATGAGCAGGCTACCCATAAGCGAGAACAGAATGAGCGGATGATAATACCAGTCCTGTCTTGTAAACAAATGTTTGTTCTACTTTAATACCTTCTCTTTCAGGACAAATGATAGTACATGTTTATGTGAAATTAGTGCTGTTAGTCTAAGTTCTGTTTCCTCCCCTGTTTATATTAAGAATGCCTATGTTGTATGCCTCCGTGACCTTATTTTTAATTTGATGCAGAGTAAATTCCCCTGTGGGAAACTTTTATATCACTAGCACTTTTTAAAAAGGAGACATTCATTATTATGTTTATGAGCAAAAGGAAAGAGATAGAAAGGGCACCAGTTTACCCTTCTACTCATTCCACAATTGTGTCATGGTCTAGGCATTCCTTTCCTTGGGGAAGATGTGATTATAGGTCTTACAGGCAACAGCTTATTGCTTAAGGAGACTCAGAAGGGTTAGGTTTTAAGATATCAACCCAAAGAAAGCGAACTGCAGCAGCTCATTCACTGACTAGGTTGTGGCTCTTTAGTAAGGCCCCAAATCCCACCACATGTGTCATAGAGAACCAGCTCCTTTATTCCTTCTTCTCCAAGGCTTTATTATTGTCTTATTGGCTCACTTCCTTCTATAACCTATTGAGAGAGAGGAGGGGTTCCATAGTGGCTCAACTTGTTTATCTAAGGGAGAAAATTCTTAGTAAAGCCTTGCCTGGCTGGATTGTATTGACCAATACAAGACTAACTTTTAATCCTTAAGTCATTTTGAGTAAAAGCAATCACTAATGGCTTTTTAACAGGATAAGGCTCTTAAATGGACACTTCAGTGATGTTCACAGGAACAACTGAATTATATTTAAAAACAAAAGTGCTGTTGGTTTTCTGTAGAGCTATGAAAAAATAGGGATTAGTCCCATGTACTTTTTTACTTCAGTTTTTGCAACACACCACCAAATTCAAATAGATTAGAAATAACAAATAACCCCTAGAAACAGTGTAAGACAGCGTAAAAGGCAATATAGCAATGATTGATGCTTGAGCAGGCCCTGTTTTCACATGAAAGAAAGAGTGCTGCCATGGTAGAAAGTAGCTGGGCAAACTCCCTAGAGTTGAGAACTACTGCAACCAATAACATCATAGCACTCATCTAAAAAAATAACAATAATAATTCATCTAGACTCTAATCATGTATCTGATTCTTTGACTACTTTTCAAGATTTGAAAAATTTCTCACAAAGCTAAGTTCATTTAACACAAGCCAACCTTGTGTTTAATCCCAAACTTCTAAGGATAATTATCACAAAGGGTACCTTTTAAATAAAACCTAAAAGACTGTCGATTTTACCACAATTTTAAGTAGTTAATGATGAAATATACTTAAAAACCATTGAATTGTATACTTTAAATAGGTGATTTATATGTGAATTATGTCTTAGTAAAGCGGTTTTCTTAAAAATATACTCTACAGAAAATATCTTTGCCCATGTTTATGCTACTGAGAAACTCATTTTGGAAGCCATATCATCTTGCTGTGGGAACACTGCCATATGTAGCCTTTTTCATGCTCCTCAGAGGCGTCAAATTCAGAGAAGTTTCTCGGTGGCCAGTGAGCATGCACATTCCAGCTTTGTGCCTCTTCCTGGGCTGAGGATAGGGCAGGTGGTGAGGTGCACAGAGATAGATAACACATGGTGGTTGTCCTCATGTTATCAACTGTTTGGCTGAGGAGAGGAAACTAAGGCCTAAGAACCAGTCAGAGAATATAGGCTAGCACCTGTTTAAGTAGATTGCAGCGTGCGTGTGAAGAAGTTCACACAAAGGGAAGTTCTAGGACAGTGATCAGAAAGGGCTTATGCAGGAGGGTAGGAACCGAGCTGACCACCAGGCGGAGGGTACTGTTGACAGGAGAAGGAACATTTTCAGTCAGGGTGCTGAGACAGCCAGCAGTGTGGTTCAGTGTCAGGCATGTGTGCCAAGTAAAGTGTTTCCCATTATTGCAAGACCGAGGAATGGACTTGATTTGCATGGTCATATAGAGTAACTGAGAAATTTGGATACATAGAGTAGGTATTGATTTTATAGGGCCTTGAAAACCAGGGCATTAAATACAGAGTGAAAAATTGAGACCTGTTAGAAATTCAGGAAGGTCACATGATGAAACCATTAAAGGGACTTAATCTAGCAGTGGGTATGAAGGTTGCACTAAGTATAGACTAGCTATATGAGTGGTCGCAGTCATTTATGTCTTGGTTAACTATAAATGAGATGATGCCCAAGAGAATGGAGTGAAATCACTGTATATAATAGAGATTTCAAGGGGACACAGGACAGAAAAATGATTTGTAACCACCCAAGGATTTAAGATAGCCAATTCATAGAAGGGCTATGCTATCACTGGAGATAAGGATGTTATCTCTAGTTTAAGAGGAAAAAGTTTAATTTTGTTTTGAAACTTCAGGCAAGTGGAGTTATGAAACTCCGGGAGTTGAATCCCAGAACCTCACTTACTGATCATTCTGAGGCAGGCAGCCCATTTAAACTTTCTTAGTTTTAGTTCTTTTGCTAAAATATGGTGATACCTCATGAAATCTGAGGGATAAATGGAATAATCTACTAGAGAAAGTGTCATGATGCATTACAGAGTTGCTTTTGAGTTGATGATGGAATATCCTTGTTTAACATACGTATAACCTGGAAAACAGGTGAGAGAACACCGAATGTAGTTGTAACAGTTCCCTAGGACTGCAGTAACGAATTACCATAAACTAGGTGACTTAAAACAACAGAAATTTATTCCCTCGTGGTTCTGGAGGTCAGAAGTTTGAAATTATGGTATCAGCAAGGTTGGCTTTTCTCTTGGGGCTTAGAGGGAAGCTGTTGCATGGCTCATTCCTAACCTCCAAAGGTTGCCAGTGGTCATTCCTTGGAGTTCCTTGCCTTATAGAGGTCTCACTCCAATTTGCTTTTATCTGTGCATGGCATTCTCCCCTGTGAGTCTCTGTCCTCCTGTGGCCCTGCAACAGGGCCATGATCCAGTGAGACCGCATCTTATTATAGTTGAGGGGACCCTATTTCAACTATGGTCACAGTCTGAGGTTCTGGATGGAAATTGATTTTGGGGGGACTTCAACCCAGTGCACTAGTTCAGAAGTATTTCCAAATAAACCTAACCAGTGTGCAATTTCTTTTTCAAGAGCACTGGAATTAAGTTGCCTTCATCAGTGTTTGCTTCAGAGTTTGAAGAAGATGTTGGATTGTTAAATAAAGCAGCTCCAGTTTCGGGTATGTTTAATTCCTTTGTCTTTTCATGTAGATAAACGTATTTTGCAAAACATAAAGAAATGATGTAACACTTTTCTATCCCTAGTAAAGTATTGAAGCAATTGAAATATGTCTGGAATTCAGATCAGCGACTATTAGGAAGGGATGAGTGTGACCTTTGTTTTTTTGTATTCCTACCATCAAATTCTTACATATTTTGAGTTCCTGTTTGGAGAAGAGAGTGGGGAAACTATTCTTGGTAATCTAGTAGGGGCATTGTAACCTTCACCTAACCTCTTACAAAAATAGTGGTATTCATTATTCATTACTTCAAGTATAATTTTAAAAAATAATCTGTCGTCTTTCAAAATTTCTCCCAAGAGCATACAGGTATTTTTATAAAAGTTCATTTTGCCATCTACACATATGTTGGGGGAAGTTTTTATTTTTAATATTTAGTGCTAACATTGTATTTCAGAACAAACACAAAAGTTCATAGAAGTGGTGTTGGTATTTTCTCCAAAGTTGCTTTAATTATTAACTAACACTTGCCCTTTGGCATTCATTAATTAATTGATTCTACAGATTTTTTGAGTTGCCACTGTGTGGCAGGGCCTTGGGTTAAAACAGAATAAAGCATAGTCTCTGACCTAAAGACTTTACCTCATTTGGGAAAAATAAACCATAAATGATAAATTACAGCATATTTGGATAATACTAGTGGGGTAAGGAGCATAAACCCAGCCTCACGGAGTTGAGCAAGGCTTTCTAAAGGAGGTGATATCTAGTTTGTTTCTTAAGTAAAAGGCAGGTAGAAGAAGGAGGGGGTGGGGTGGGGAGAAGAAGCAAGAGAGCATGAGTATAGGTAACTTTACACACTTTAGCATGCCCAGAAGGAAGGGTATGGATTAAAAAGAAATGAGACTGGAGGGTTAAGCATTGACTGTAGCAGAGGGTGTTGGAGGCCAGTCAAGAGTTTTTCTTGAACTCTCTTTTTCTTGTTTGTTTTTGTTTTTTTCATTTTCTGTTCCTTGTGGAGCAGAGCAGTGTGTCAAGAGTCAGCCTAGTATTTTTATAGATGAAAGAACATATGTGGAGAAAGAGGTAGGTGTTTATTAAAATCTCATTATCAGAAAAGACTAAAAATATAACAGTTTACAAATTGTTCATTTGAGTTACTTTTAACAAGTTAATTTAAAGCCCAGTTTCTTCCTGCAGACAAAAGCTTTGAATTATGCTAGACAAAGTTTAACATTATAGATCTATAATGGAAGGATATTTTTACACTGGATATCAAAAGGAGAGGCAGCATTTTTTTCCTTTTGTTTGTCTTGGAATGATCACTCTTTATTCTTAATCATTCTTTTATCCTCAATATATAAACAGAATCTTACTGTCATAGGTCCTTATGTTGTAAATGAATTGTTGCTATCTTGGGAATTATTGCTTAATTTTTGTTTTCCTTCTAGGACCTCGACTGGATTTTGATCCTGACATTGTTGCAGCTCTTGATGATGATTTTGACTTTAAAAATCCAGATAATCTGCTTGAAGAGGACTTTATCCTTCAGGCCAATAAGCCAATAGGAGAGGAAGAGGGAATGGATATACACTATGTGTGGTTTGTTTCAAACCTAAGTGTTACTGCTTCAGTGGGATGGTAACCATAGAATGTAGTAATTGGAAGAGACCTTCAAGAGCATTTAATCTGAGACTTCCGTATTTTAGAGCAGAAAATGTGAGATTCATTGCTTTTCCTACCAAACCAGATTGGTCAAACACCTTCACTCTTTCTGCCTAGACCAGAACTCTTCCTGAAATATCTTTACTTGTGTAAAGTGGTTTTGTTCTGTTACTTTTTAAGTTGTTTTGGTAGGTAATTTCTGACCTTTACTTTAGGAAATCTGCGAATGAAGATGACAGTGAGTGGGAAGATGTAGATGATAAGAAGGGAGATAGCGATGATGACTATGACTCTACAGGCCCCTTATCAGATGAAGATGATGTGTCTGTGCCTGGAAAAACTCATGGAGCTATAGCAGATCACTTGTTCTGGAATGAAGAAACGAAAAGTCGCTTCACAGAGTATTCGATGACTTCCTCGGTCATGAGGAGAAACGAACAGCTGACTCTACACGATGAGAGGTTTGAGAAGGTAAGGGCCCCAAATAAAGGATGTTTTAGTACTGTCTTATGGTAATTTTTTTTTAATACCTGTCAGCTTTAGCCCAGGTTGAAGTGCTTACCAGTCACAAAATAATGGCAACAACACAGTCAATCACAGGAAGTTTATAGCTATCCAGCTATAGGTTTGTCTAGCCAACATAAAGCAGAAGGGCAGCTTTGCAGTACAGGAGCACAAAGACTCCAAAGGAAGCATAGAACTCTGCAGGAAATGAGTAATCGCCTATGAGGAGGTGACTTTTCCAATTTACATCACACGTTTATACCTGGAGGTGGCTCAAGGGATACCTAATTCAACCTGAATGGATAACCAAAAGTAGCTGTAATTGTTTTATTCTCAGTAACTGTGGTAGACAACTCACTTAAGTTTCTATTTGGCCCTTAAAACCCCCACAAGTGGCAAAGGTAAAGATAGAAGCAGTCCACTTGAGGATCTTGATGAAGCCGAGCGGGTTGAGGCTGATCTGGAAGCTGGACATCTCTGGCCGAGTCAGCTGATTCCCTCCCAAGCTAAGTAGGTGTTAGGCGCCTTGCTGCGTGCCTTGTTTTTTTGTTTTTATTTAAAGAGAGAGATTGGGACCCAAAGCTAAAACTTATGAGTGTTGGAAACAGCGTGTCTCTTTATAAAAACAGAGCACAAGAATACCCTAGTTACTGTTGTTTTCCCTTTACACATTCTATGAGGTCAATCACCCTAGTTTTGATTCTGAAAGAACATGTATAGGTCAAAAGGATTGGCAGATCACATGCTCTTATTTTCCTCTTGGAGTTCTGACATCCTGATTCTGAACTTCTCCAACAGTAGTGTATAAGATGCTGTATTTCTGAAGTATCGGCCTGATGGAGCACAAACAAAATTCCATTTCTTTCCATTTCTCACCTGGAGTTTCCAGACATAACTAACACTAAGGAACAGAATGGAAATAATAAGATGCTTTTGAAAGCTTGAATTTTCATTTCCTGTATATTTGGTTCTGTTGTAACAGATTCGCTCCAGGGTTTGTTTATAATCCCAACCTGTAGCCTACTTACACAGGTTCTTAATGCCACCTATGCTGTTGTTCTGTAGCACATAACATCTAACATCATCTCTAATGTGCGTCTTTATTATGTATGTCATATATAGATTTGTCTCAGATTAGAATGTGAATTCCTCAAGGGCAGAGATATTTTGTGTTTTGCTCGTGGATATATCCCAGAGCCTAAAGTGGTGTCTTGGCATCTAGTAGAAGTTTAAAGTGTTCCATAAATGATAAATGGATGAAGGAGTCGTTTTCTTCAAGGTGAATCTAAAATAAAGGTTCTTACTTCGCTACCTTCTGACCAAATAGTATTTTCCTTCTCTTGAGGGAGAAGCAAACTATTGCTACAAATCTCACTCTTCAAGAGATACATCACCCCTATTTACTCTTTGTCACAGCTTAACAGTGTCAGCAGCATTTGCGTGATGTAGTAATTATTGTCTAAATAAGAATGAAGTTTATAGATTAGTGGGAGATTTTTCAGTTGCACAATCTTTTAGTTTTCATAGCCAAGGAATTTGAAAATGTCTTCAGGCTAGGCATGGTGGCTCATGCCTATAATCCCAGAACTGTGGAAGGCTGAAGCAGGTGGATCACTTGAGCCCAGAAGTTTGAGACCATCTTGGGCAACGCAGATCCTGTTTCTATTAAAAACAAAAAATAATAGCCTGGTGTGGTGGCATGTGCCTGGGGTCCCAGCTGATGGAGGGGCTGAGGTGGGAGAATCACTTGAGCCTGAGAGTTTAAGGCTGTAGTGAACTGCAATTGTGCCACTGTACTCCAAGCTGGGAGACAGTGTGATGATTAACAAAAAAGAAAAAGATCTTCAAAAATGTTCTGGCGTAATCTGTGCCTAGCATTTTGTTCTCCAAGCTGAGTGGAATCATGCCTTTCATTTACATGTCAAATGGGAGCCTATTTTTAGTCTAAATGTAAGTCTTAAAGTACTGAGCAGAAATATCTTCCACATCCGATTGTCGCATTAAACCCCTACCAATATTTTAATGGTAATTTTGATAGTGCTTATATAATAATAAAGTTATTGTAAAAAAATGTGTAATATTAGTACATTTGCTTTTCATGGTATCTTTTCTCTGTTTTTATTCAAGTTTTATGAGCAATATGATGATGATGAAATTGGAGCTCTGGATAATGCAGAATTGGAAGGTTCTATTCAAGTGGACAGCAATCGCTTACAGGAAGTTTTGAATGACTACTACAAAGAGAAGGCAGAGAAGTACAGTGACTTTTCTTTCCTTGTTTAACTGCTCTATTAAAAAAAAACTCCAAAGAAAGGTCCATAGTATAACCGAATTGAGGAAAAAATCCACCTACTCAAAATCCATATTAAGAAAACGAAAAAGTGAAAAAGAAAAGGAAAATAGGAGGGGGAAAAAAGAAAGTGGTACATTTTCCATAAACTTTGGCTCATATATAGTTCATCTCTTTTGCCTGCATTTTGGTATTGGCGTTCTGAAGTAGAACGTAATAGGAATATATGAGGAGCCATGTTCTTTGTATCTTTGACTTCAGAAGAGTCGCGGTAGAATGTGTGTTCAGCTTCTTATTTTATTTTTATTTTTTGAAACGGACTCTGCTCTGTTGTCTGGGCTGGAGTGCAGTGGGGCGATCTTGGCTCACCTGCAACCTCCGCCTCCCAGGTCCAGGTGTTTCTCCTGCCTCAGCCTCCTGAGCAGCTGGGATTACAGGCGCATGCTGCCACACCCAGCTAATGTTTGTATCAGTAGAAATGAGGTTCCAACATGTTGGCCAGGCTGGTCTTGAACTCTTGACCTCATGTAATATGCCCACCTTGGCCTCCCAAAGGCCTGAGATTATAGGTGTGAGCCCCTGCGCCTGGCCGGTTTTTAATTTTTTTTTTACTTTTATTTATTTTGCTTAAAAGTTTTGATAGAAGAATGAGTATTATTAGAGTGAAATAACAAGGACAGGCTGGGCATGGTGGCACACACCTGTAATCTCAGCTACTTGGAAGGCTGAGGCAGGAGAATCGCTTGAACCTGGAAAGCAGAGGTTACAGTGAGCTGAGATAGCACCACTGTACTCTAGCCTGGGTGGCAGGGCAAGATTCCATTTCAAAAAAAAAGAAAGAAATACAAGGACACATTTCACTTGGAAAATAAGATGGTGTTTCTAGTGTTTAGGGCTGAAGAATTAAGAATTATTCCAAGTATATACGCTTTTCATCTTTCTGAAATGCCAGGTGTTCTGAGAAGTAGGTATTTATGTCTTGCGAAAAGATAAGAATTTGTTTCTCCAGCTAGATTAGCAGAACTGATCAGCCGGTTATTTTGGCAAATCAGCATCCACATCAAGGTGACTCTCTTTGAGAGAAACTGAGCAAGTGTTCAGATCTGCTTGAAAGGTCTGACGTTCCATAATCACTATAATATATAGATCCCATAGCAGGACAAGGAGCTATATAGTTTGAATAAAGTATTTGAATACTTTGGGGAGACAGATGAATTATGCTTTTTTAGGCTTGAAAAACCTGTTTTCTTAGGAAGCTGCCTTGAAAAGACACAGCCAGTGAATGTCCAAAACTCACTGTGGGGAAGAGGCAGGGCTGGGTAGAACAGAGTTTGACACAAGATGATAGATGAGACACTGGACTATGTGCCTTTAAAACATTGGGTTTTTCCACAGCTAAAAATTGCAGTTTTAGTGACATGGTATAATAATAGGTCACTTTTCCCCCTTCTCGTTCTTCACTTTTAAAATTCAACCAAAAGTTGTATAAAATTGAATACCCTTGAACCCTTGGAGGATCAAGACCTGCCAATGAATGAGCTTGATGAGTCTGAGGAGGAAGAGATGATTACTGTAGTCCTTGAAGAAGCCAAAGAGAAGTGGGATTGTGAATCTATTTGTAGTAAGTATATTCACTTTATGATAGTTATTTTTAAAGTATTTAAGTATATCAACTTTAGGCTGAGCACGATGGCTCATGCCTATAATCCCAGTACTTTGGGAGGCCAAGGTGGGTGGATCACCTGATGTCAGGAGTTTGAGACCAGCCTGACCAACATAGTGAAACTCTTGTCTCTACTAAAAATACAAAAACTTAGCTGGGCATGGTAGCCGGCACCTGTAATCCTAGCTACTCAGGAGGCTGAGGCAGGAGAATAGCTTGAACCCAAGAGGCAGAGGTTGCAGTGAGCCAAGATCACACCAATGCACTCCGACTTGGGCAACAAGAGTGAAACTATGTCTCATATATATACATATATATATATATACACTTTATATTCTAGTACTGAGTTGTAAGCAATTAATAAAACATCAATCAGAGACTCCGGTGTTATTTTGCACTATGAAAACACAAGGTCAGAAATATAGTAGGAATTCACTAATGTTTTGTGGAACTGAAAGTATGCTTATTGATATATGTTTTATTTGTTTGTTTAGGTACATACTCAAATTTATATAACCATCCACAGCTTATCAAGTATCAACCAAAGGTAAGTCCTAGTGTGCTATTTGGAAGGATGCAATGCATAAAAAATAGAATGCACATTTTTGCACAGTAACTTTTATCTTTGTGGCTAGCAGTGATATTAGGAAAAACACCAACCATATGTCATTAATGAAGTGTTTTTTAATAGGAATGAGAAATAACTCTAGTGCCATTTTATTCGCATTTCAGCCCAAACAAATTCGAATATCTTCTAAAACAGGAATTCCTCTCAATGTCTTACCAAAGAAAGGGCTCACAGCAAAGCAAGCTGAACGAATACAGATGATTAATGGCAGTGATCTTCCTAAAGTATCAACCCAGCCACGTTCTAAAAATGAGAGCAAAGAAGATAAAAGAGCAAGAAAGCAAGCTGTAAAAGAAGAGCGCAAGGTAAAATATATTTTTCAAATGTGAGATTTACAAAAAAACTGGTGGAGGTAAAGTTAGAGGAATTTTGTAAAAGCAGTGTGTATCAGACTAAAGATATGAATAATATTATTCTTGTACTTATAACAGGAACGAAGAGTGGAGAAGAAAGCTAACAAATTAGCATTTAAACTGGAGAAAAGAAGGCAAGAAAAGGAGCTCCTGAACTTGAAGAAGAATGTTGAGGGTCTAAAGCTATAGACAGTGGAGCTTATAGGGTAAGGCACTTTATTAGGGACACTTCATTATGTTTAATAATTAACTAGAGTCTTCAGAAAGACAAAACTGCTTTGCCCGTTTTACTGGCAGATAAGAGGAAAATACAGTATTTGTATTATTTTTATACTAGCAAGTGTTCCCTGCCAACTGTCTTGGAAATACTGTAATATTTTAATTTTTGGATTATAAGCTTACATCTGCTCTGAAATAAATGACTTCATGAATGTGAAATGTTTGGATAAATTAAAGGAAAATATCTTCATAACTTGAATTGGTGTATTCATTTATTTGTATGGTTGTCATAGTTGTTTTTTGCAGATGTTTTCAAATATTTCTTTGAATCCTCTCCACGCCTTGTCAGGAATTACATGGTTTAATTTGCTGTAAGTAGAAAAGTGGCCTGGTTAAACTCAATTTTGAAATGCTGAGTTTATTCTGTTTAATGTAAGATGAGTTTTTCTGAGAAAGTTCCACTGTTAGGAAGCTAAGTTCTCCCTTGCTGTATACAAAGGACTATTTCAAAAGGGTGGTAAAACTGAATATTAAGGTTCTTAAGACTCTTATTTCCTGTTTTAATACTGGATGAGTTGCTTTTGGGATTTAGGAACAGTGAAGGCAGGAAACAGAATAGTCAAAGAAATAAGAAAACTTACTTGGCTTCAGTGAGTCCCTAGATAAAAATCAGAAATATTTATTTCAGTTTAAACTGAAGAGTTTGTCTTTTCAACATTATTTAATGTTTGGAACCATTCATACTTGATTAAAATACATAGTTGAAAACTTTCCCTGTTTTTGATGAGCTGATTTTTGTTTTAACTTATTTAAACTTTTTCAAGGTTTAAACAATGACAGCATCACAATTGTTGATTATTTGGTAAACTGTGACTTCTTGCAACAGATTAGTGACCGTGGTCACACTGGACTAGGCTGTAAAAATCTGTGATAGGAACAGAATGGCTCTGAGATAGGAACAGAATGGCTGGGGCAGAACCATTTTTGGCAGGTGAGCTGCATTTGATACCTGAATTATTAGAAAATACCTTCATCTGTAATTATTTGTTTATGGCTATTACCTTGTTCTACCATGTGTGATCCATTTAAATCTAAGCATTGTAGGTTTTTTAAAGAGATAAAAACTGATGGCATCAGGTATTCTACCAACATTGGCTAGAAAAAAAATCTGAAGAGCTGGTCATTGCAGAAGGAGGATACTGGAGAGAATGTATTGAAATGCCAGCCTGTGAAGTAAAGGGTCAGATGATGGTTTATGTTGATATTGAGAATGTAAGTACTAAAAGGATTGGCCATTTATTTTGATAGCTGTCTCAACTGAAGATTCTCAAAAACAGCAAGAGCCTTAACAAACGTTGGATGTTACTTTGTCATGATGTCACTCAAATTCCGTCTTACGAGGTGCTAATTTTACTTTACTATGTTTAAATCCATATATTATATGTTTTTCAATTAAAAGAAAAAGACTAGGCCACAAGTCTTGATGAAGCGTATTGTGATTTAGGCTGATTATACTCCAAACTTAAATATTTCAATTTTATTCTGAAGAACAAATTCATAATACTTTAAATGAATTTTCTGATAATTTAGTTCTCTACAAATCTATAAATGATGATTGGCAACTGAACATAAAAGCTCCATGCTAAGTGTTGGGAGTCCAAGGATCAGAGAGGGTTTTGCTTTCAGGAGTTATGTGCTATGAGGAGGCAGCATAGGTGCAGCGAAATGTAACTCAACGATACTGCCACTGTGGTAAGTACTTGTAATGAGAATGTGGGTACTTGCTCTTCCCCCAGAAGTGTTCTCACTGCAGGCAGACCCTCCTCATGGTTGGTGCTCAGCTGTCACCTTCACTATAGGCTATTACCTGAGCTTATATTTAAAAATAGCACACGCATCTCTCCCTGGCATCCTTGACCCACCCTCCCTGGTTTATATCCTCTACAACATGACTGTTTGTCAGTCTCCTCTCACACGACAAACCCTGAAGACACAGTGTTTTGCTTATTGCTTTATTCTAGGCCTGGAACGGTACCTGACAGTTGGTAGACATTCACAAAGTAGTATATGAATGAATGGATAGATGGGAAAGATTTCAGAAAAGAATTAAACATGGAGGGAACCATAGTAGGGCCTAGACTCACTGGGGTTAGTGGGGAGAGAAAGGCCTGAAAGATCCCAGCAGGGGGCAAAATCTTGAAGAATTTGTATCTTAAACCTATTTTGTTTAAGCACTGCCCATGACTAGTGTAAAACCACTTGGATATCGAAGTACCACAGATGCTCCTTGACTCATGGTGGGATTATGTGTTGATACACCCACCCTAAGCTGAAAACATGGTAAATCAAAAATACATTTACTGCACCTAACCTACTGAACATCATAGCTTAGTCTAACCTACCTTAAACTTGCTCAGAACACTTCCCATTAGCCCACAGTTGTGCAAAATCATCTGACAATACAGTTACACTGTAGAGTATCAGTTTGCCCTCGTGGTCACATGGTTGACTGGGAGCAGTGGCCCACCACTGTTGCCCAGCATCATGAGAGAGGATTGTACCACTTTCTACTGAATATATACTGCTTTCTCACTGTCACAGAAAAATCGTTAAGTTGAACCATTGTAAGTTGAGGATCGTCTGTACTGTTCTTTTACAAATCTAAGTATCTGAAATGCAGTTACTGCTTGTTAGATTACCCGTGATGCCCTGTATCTACACTTCCATTGTGATGTCATCAAGTCACCTCAGGTGAAAGAACTTGTAATTTGACTGGTATATTTTCAATACTTTTTTTTTTAAATGCCTAAACAGATATTCAATACATTTTATTTTATTTTATTATTTTTTACTTTTTATTGTATTTGGGCTCTGGGGTCCATGTGCACACCCTGCATCCTGCAGGATTGTTGCATAGGCACATACACGCCATGGTGGTTTGCTGTCTCCATCCCCCCCTACCGTTGCCTACATCAGGCATTTCTCCAGTTGTTATCCCTCCCCCTCCTCCCCACTCCCCACCGTTGTGTCCCCCTCCCCTCCCTTCCCCTCCACCACTCCCCCCACCTAGTCCTGTGAGTGTTGTTCCCTTCCCTGTGCCCAAGTGTTCTCATTATTTTCAATACTTTTATATTACTTCTCCATGTGGGTTGACATTGGTATGCTTTATCAGGCTTGTTCCAGTTAAAGGACAGAGAAAGTAGAAATTCTAATAGCCTTGAATTTTAATTGTGAAACTTAGAGGAGAATGTTTAAAGCAAATACAGGGCCACTGTTCAAGTTAAGAAATAGAACATAGAAGTTACCCGTGGGCCCATTCTTGATTTCATTTCACTCTTCCCCCTCAGGTAATTCTTACATACTGTCTAGCTATCATACAAGTTGAACATCTCTAATCCAAAATCCAAAATGTTGAGTGCCAATGTGACACAACAAATAGAAAATATGATGCATAAGTTCTCAATACAAGCTTTGTTTAATGCACAAAATTATTTAAAGTATTATATACAATTACCTTCAGGCTGTGTGTATAAGGTGATACAAGAAACAAAGTGTTTAGACTTGGGTCCAATCCCAAGTCTAACCTTGTTCGAAAGTCTGAAAAAAATCTGAAATACTTTTTGTCCCAAGCATTTTGGGTAAGGGATACTCAATGTGCAATAAATATTTCCTTCTTTTTTAAAGCCACTTGTATAGTGTCCCTAAACACATCTTGTTTCATTTTGAAGAACTGAAAAACACAAACCTAGCTCTTTGAGGGCAATATTTGCTACCAATTAGATGAAAGCATCCTAGGGAGGATGAACTGTGAACAGTCCCTGGGTCTGACTTATGTTTTAGAGTTTAAAGAGCCCCATGCTTAGGTGTCAGTGAGCAAGGTGATGAGTGAGTTTTAGCGGACAAGTCACAGTTTGAGCATCCAGGATCAGCAGAAATATGCTTAGAGGATTACATTTTTGTTTTATATTTTCTGCTTCTAAACTCACCCCTACCTCTAAAGGTCAATGCAGAACCTTCCTATGGGGTGAAATGATTGTCTCCAACCGATCTAGAGATCAGGATACGAAAGGGAGAGCAGGCACTTTATTGGAATATGGCCAAACATGCCAAGTATAGAATAAAATGGGAGCGAGACTTCCTTGAATATACTATCCTGAGATTACGAAGACAGTAGATATCTTAGTCGCGATAGCCCTCAACACGTCTGTCTCTAATCACACGCCTCAAACCTCAACTGGTTGCTCTTTTGGTTCTGGTGCCCAGCTATCAGACTGGGAATTCCCTTCTCTCTATCCAGTATACAGTTGCCTTTTCCTATATCTTATGCACATGCTTGTGGATCACATCCTCCAGTAAATCCTAAAACGGGGTACAGGGGATGTAGGCTTTTTGAGAACTTGGATGTCTGGAAATATATTCTACTCTTAATATTGGATTGACAGCTTGACTGGATATAGAATTCTTGGTTGTAGATTATTTTACTTCAGAAGTTTAAAGGGTTTTCTCCATTTGTTTCCATTTCCAATTTTGCTTTTTGGGAATCTGAAGCCATTCTGATTGCTGATCATTTATATCTAATTTTTCTTCAGAAGTCTGTAGAATCTGTCATCAGTGTTCTGAAACTTCCATTTTACTGGATCTCTTAAAGGTGTATTAGGATTATCTAGAGGGACAGAAGTAATAGAATATATATATTTATATTTATATATATATATATATATACACACACACACAAAGAGGAATTTATTAAGAATTAACTCACACAATCACAAGGTCCCACAATAGGCCATCTGCAAGCTGAGGAGCAAGGAGAACCAGTACAGTGCCAAAACTGAAGAACTTGGAGTCTGGTGTTTGAGGGCAGGAAGCATCCAGCATGGGAAAAAGATGGGAGGCCTGGCCAGTCTAGTTTTTTCACAATTCTCTCTCTGCTTTATATTCTATCTGCAGTGGCAGCTGACTAGATGGTGCCCACCCAGATTAAGCCTGGGTCTGCTTTCCCCACACCACTGAATCAAATGTTAATCTCCTTTGGCAACATCCTCATAGACACACCTCAGATCAATACTTTGCACCCTTCAATCCAATCAGGTTGACACTGAATATTAACCATCACAAGTCTATCTTTTGTCAACTTGAACCCATACACATCTCCTGAAATCATACATAATATTCAAATAAAGATAATGTTATAATTACACCTAACATAATACAACTATCCATACAACTGGAAATGCACCAATCCCCAACCTCAATACTATTACATAAAGTTAACAACACTTAAATGCTGATGTGAAGTCAATAAATCTTACGTCACATGATGAAGGAAAGGAAAATGAAGATATCTTTTTAGTACAAGTATATACATACACAAACATTTTTAACAAAAGGAAGAAATACTTATGACAATTACTGTCCTCATCTCTGCAGCTGGTCACATGGTGGTAGCTGGTATTGATGATTGCCTCCTTCTACCCATTCTGTATTCCCTTTGCCTTCAGCAAGCACCTTAGCAGGTTGTGGTTTTTTCCTAATGGAGTGACCCAAACCTTCATTCCTGAAGGATCTGGGCATTTGTAGTCCTGCCTGGATTGGGCTGTTGTAGTTTCCCATTGACCTTAATCACAGGGCATGGTAATACTAAGAGACATCCTAATGGATATCCTGTATTCCATGGATACTTTTCCTTACCTCCGTTGTGGAGTAGTAGACCATATGTGACCTTCTGGAGAACTTTAATTGTAACCTAGTTGTAATTGTGACTTCAAAAGGCCATTCCACCATTCTATCAATCCAGTTGCTTCAGGATGATGGAAAACATGGTGAGACAAGTGAATTCCATGAGCATGATCCCACTGTCACACTTCTTTAGCTGTAAAGTGAGTGCCTTGGTCAGAGGCAATGTTGTGTGAAATACCATGACAGTGGATAAGGCATTCCATGAGTCTACAGATGGTAGTCTTGACAGAAGCATTGTGTGCAGATAGGCAA